CATACAAGTGGTTTCATATAGCCACCAAGAAAAGAAAGAGACATCAATAGCAAGACGAGATAGAACCGGACGAGAAGAATAATCAACTCCACAAGCATGAAGAAATCACCAAGCCTTATTTTGTCTTCTACCGAGCTATACTCCTCAACCGAATGATGGAAGATCCATGAAAATGTAGAGACTAGGAAAGCTTTCCTACTAAAACTAGGAGTGGCTTCCAAAATAATACTAAAGATTAAGCAAATAACATCATCATGGGATGGCATCCCTCCACCAATGATGACAATAAAATATAAAACAGAAAAAGGAAAGCTTCAAACATGAAAAAATTGAAGCTAAAAAATAAAATTCAGAAGAACCCTACCACAAGCAAACGCCTGGAGAGGCATCACAATACTCACATGGCAAGGGCAACACTAGAATCCCTGTCATCCATCTATTTTCTCTACCCACCAACAAAGGGGCACATCAAGTATATCTTGCTCATCCTCCTTAGGGCAGTATCCATCACAAGTCAACAACGAGGGAACCATCAAGTACCTCAAAATTAGTCCAACTTGATTGAGAGCCGCCATTGAGCTTCTCAAATCAGTGAATGACAACGAGAGTACCATCGAGTTCCCCAAAGTCAAAATTGGGACTGCCGTCGAGCTCTCACCATAGGCCGACTGAAGCCTTAAAATTAGCCAGCTTGATTGAGAGCCGCCATCGAGCCTCTCAAATCAGTGAATGACAAGGAGGGTATCGCCGAGTTCCTCGAAGTCAAAAACTGGGACTTCCGTTGAGCTCCCACCATAGGCCGGCTAAAGCCTTAAAATCAATCCATCTTGATTGAGAGCCGCCATCGAGCCTCTCAAATCAGTGAATGACAACGAGGGTATCGTCGAGTTCCTCGAAGTCAAAACTGGGACTACCGCTGAGCTCCTACCATAGGCCAGTTGAAGCCTTAAATATTAGTCCAGCTTGATTGAGAGCCGACATCGAACCTTTCAAATTAGTGAATGGCAACGAGGGTACTGCCAAGTTCCTCGAAGTTAAAACTAAGACTGTCATCGAGCTCCCACCATAGGTCGGCTGAAGCCTTAAATGTCAATCTAGCTTGATTGAGAGCTACCATCGAGCCTCTTAAATCAGTGAATGACAACATGGGTACTGCCGAGTTCCTTGAAGTCAAAACTAGGACTGCCATCGAGCTCCCACCATAGGCCTACTGAAGCCTTAAATGTCAATCTAGGTTGATTGAGAGCTACCATCGAGCGTCTTAAATCAGTGAAAGACAACATGGGTACTGCCGAGTTCCTTGAAGTCAAAACTAGGACTGCCATCGAGCTCCCACCATAGGCCTACTGAAGCCTTAAATGTCAGTCTTGCCTGGAGAGGTGAGCTACGAAAATACTCCCTCTTCAACAAGCCATAAATAAAAGAACAAGGAAAGAGAGATCCCCCCACCGCAACCTCTTAAATTCCATTTCTTTTGTTCCTTTTTTGCTTCCATATGAACAAAGCTGTGCACTCTTTTCCTGCCTCAAACCGAGAGGGTTTTTAACGAGGCACACAGACATAATAAATGAAATCACCCATTTTTTCTCAATTTATATTCTTATTTTTTCTGCTTGTATAAAGAACGAAAATGAGCCTTAAACACGCGAACGCATACTCCGAGGCCGAACACGAACCTCGACGTTTTCGTTAAAGGCTAGATCGGGTCGCTCAAACTTTAGGCCAAATCTGAACCCCACCACGCCAAGACAAATACGAACCTCAATGCTTCTATCCAAGGTCGAGCACGAACCTTGAAGTAAATTCGCTCTGCTCAAAAGCGAGGTCAAGTACGAACCTCAATGCTTCTATCCAAGGTCGAGCACGAACCTTGATGTAAATTCGCTCTGCTCAAACGCGAGGTTGAGTATGAACCTCAATGCTTTTATCCAAGGTCAAGTACGAACCTTGATGTAAATTCGCTCTACTCAAAAGCGTTGTCGAGTACAAACCTCAATGCTTCTATCCAAGGTCGAGCACGAACCTTGACGTAAATTCGCTCTGCTCAAAAGCAAGGTCGAGTACGAACCTCAATGCTTCTATCCAAGGTCGAGTACGAACCTTGACATAAATTTGCTCTGCTCAAAAGTGAGGTCGAGTACGAACCTCAATGTTTTTATCCAAGGTCAAGTACGAACCTTGACGTAAATTCGCTCTGCTCAAAAGCGAGGTCGAGTACGAACCTCAATGCTTCTATCCAAGGTCGAGTTCGGACCTTGATGAAAATTTGCTTTAATTAAATGCGAGGTCGAGTACGAACCTCAACGCTTCTATGCAAGGTCAAGTTCGAACCTCAATACTTCTATCTGAGGTCGAGTTTGAACCTCGAAGTAATTCGCTTTAATAAAAAATGAGGTCGAGAACGAACCTTAAATACCCATCGAAAACTGAGTCTGAACCTCGGTATGATTTGGGTCAAGTTCGAACCCCCACACAAAGTTGTTCAACAATACTAAGAACACAAAGCTATTTAACAAGAATCTAAGGTCGAGTTCGAACCTTCATAACACACTATTTAACAAAAATACGAGGTCGAACCCGAACCTTCATACAAGCCGCTCTACCCCAATTTGAGGACGAATACAAACCACGACGCTATTAGCCCAAGGTCAACTTTTCATGACAAAAATCCACCCAAAAAAAAAAAAAAACCAAAGTCGACCACCAACCTCAATGCTTTTACCCAACATCGAAATCGAACCTTGAGGTCACCCGTCCTAGAGGTCCAGTACGAGCCCCAATACTTCTACGCGAGGTCTACAAGTTTGAGCTCGAACCTCGATGTAATTCGTTTCGCCCCACTCTAAAAAATGAAGTCAAGTACTACCTCGGCACAACACACACTAAAAGCGCCAACATAAAGACAACACAGTCATAACAAGCCAAGTTTGAGCCCAAAGAAAGATAGTCAAAATAAGAACAAATTTCGTTAAAGCAACATATACAATTACGGAGTTCAACACTTGAATTCAAAAGACACAACAAAAAACAAAGAAAAACTAAATCATTACAAAAAAAAATGGCCTACGCAGAGGCATTCTCACTAGGGCTATCGTCGGAGTCGTCCTCTTCAAACAGCTTCCTGAAGCGGGTTAGCTTCATGGCCTGGCGAGCAGCCTTGAGGAAGCCCTTCTTATGCTCCACCATAACAGAGTGCTCGACCTCCGCCAATCTCTTCTCCACAGCCACTTTCCCCACCTCCAGCTCCGCGAGCTCTGCTCTCAAAGAGGCAATCTCCTCCTCCTGGCCACCAAGAATGGCCTCGCTACGGAGGCGCTCCTCAGCCGCCTCCCCTAGCTCTCCTTTAAGAGAAGTCACAACGTCCTCCAACGCCCGCACTTGGACACGGGAAGCCGTCACCTCATCCTCCAAAAAGCGAGCACTGCCACGAGAGAAGGCGACGAGCTCCTGTAGCTCCCCCACCTGGGAGGCATAAACCTCGTTGGATTGTAATGCGATCTCAAGAGATTTCTGCACCCTTGCAAGGTCACTCCTCACAGAACGGAGCTCGGCCCCTGTATATTTTGAAATGTATATATTACGTAAATTTTGTTTTATGAATGAAGTTTCAAATCATCTTGAATAAATATAAAATTTTGTATATATGAGCTAAGAGTAAAAAACTTTCAATCTAACGGTTGAATTTATAAAATTCACATTTAATATAAAGTTATTGAGCGGTGTAATACTTAGTAAAAGTTACACCGGTGTTATTATAACCCTTCTCATTTAAAATATTATTTTTATAAATTAAATTTTAACATTTTAAATATTTTATTAATTAACTTAATATATTTATTGATCTAAAAATATGACTAAGGGAGGCGCATGCGAGGAAGAATGACTAAGGGAGAGCATTGCACTTTTAATATAGCTACAGTACTTTTAAGATCGGTTAAATTTCAACCGATCTTAAAAGTACTTTTAAGATCGGTTAAAATTTAACCGATCTTAAAAGTTTTTACATTATTTACAAAATTGTCACCGCGTCACTTTTAAGATCGGTCACCTTTTAACCAATCTTAAAACCCTAATTTTAAAACTAATTTTTGCACTAGTGTCACCACACCGAATCAATACATTTTCGGGGTAGAACCAATGGCACATCCAAGCAAAGGAACCCTCGGTACGGCTCTTAATCCTAGCCTTCCACTCCATGGCATATCTCCTCGGTGTGGGTATCTTGGAGAAGCTTCTCAATGGGTTAGGAAGTGCTCCCATATGGCCTTCGACGAAGAAGTGAGTGTATGCCCACACATATAGTAGTGAGCAGTAGCATCTTATAAGCTTCCATGATTTTTGTTTGTAAATATCGACAAAAATCAAGGTGTCAGCAAGAATCGCAAGCATGAGACTCATCAAATGCATGTCCCAGGCGAAGGAGGTGTCATTGCAACATGGTCCATATCCCCAACGTGAAAGGGAAACAAGATAGTCTCGAACACGGGGAAAGAGTCTTGTTAAAGCTTCGCCAATCTCCTTGATTAGCCAAGGCAAAGAGATGGTCTTCCAACATGGTGAGTTTCCACTCTCTTATTTCCCCCAATGCTTTCCAAGGAAGATCGGTGGAGGGGCAATTTGATCAATTTGGCCATCTTCTCATTAGAAATACGATCCTCCTTGATGGTATAGACCTCGACTGATTTGGGTCATCTGACCATTGCCCTCTTTCTTTTCCGGCTGGCCTCTGGGAGGGGAACACTCTCCTCTTAAGGTTCAGGAACCTCGAGCTCAGCAACGTTGTAGCGGTGCTTAAGCTCTTTCCACAAGTTCTTCCCTATAATGCCTGCAAAACAGAATACATTAGCACATTAGCCAAGAAACGCTAAACTCAATCCCTAACAAACCGCCAAA